AGATAAAGAATTCCCTTGTACTTCGATATGGCATCAAGTGAAAATGGTAACAATGTAGAATATAGTTCAGACGTCAGGAAAGTGCCATCATTTAGCATGTTGAGCGAGTATAGTGTCATACAATATTCTAATGTTCAATTAAAATATTAAATTACGAAACCAATACTTAAATGTCTCTTTTTAAATAAATATAAAATATTTGCCGATCACTTGTAAACTAAAAACTTTAATTTCAGTTGCATTTTCTACTGGAACTCTGAGGTGATCAAGCAGGATCGCAATTAGGTTTAAAATATCAGTATGTAGAGATTTTTTTGTATTGTTAACAGCATTATTATCTGATGGTGGTGATGGCGGGCCTGACACTTCTACATGGAAAATTTCCTTATTATCGAATAACCTGACACCTTTCAGGATTGTTGGAATAATCAAGTAATTATTATTGGATAATAGGTTAAAATTGTAAATATACATTATTACATACCTCTTGCATCGACCTTAACAATACCAGAGTTTGTAGGCGACTTTGTTAATTTTGACGCCGGCGAGTGTGATTCAATCCAGTCAAAATAAATGTTTCCAAACGTGACTTCGTAAAATTTGAATAAAGAAGAAATGTTTTGAATAATATACTTTCGTTCTCTGATTTTCCTTGACAAGTTTGGAAATATATCGACCATATTATAACTAAAATCAGGAACAAGGTTAGGCTTCAAATTATCTGAAGGATAACAATAAATGGGGAAAAAAACTTACAAGTCCATTAATATTTTTTCGTAATATAGGCAAAACCTGTTGTCTAAATCACCTTCAATTTTTTGCATTATTTTAGACTTGAAATTATCTCCAGAGTTCTGTAACACGATTACAAAGATGCTTAAACATTTATTGGCTTCCAATCTAACATTAATTAATTAATATTGTGAATACACACTTTCAAAACATTATCCATATAAATATTTAGTGATTCCGTCCACACAGATGGTTTTTGAACCATAACTTAGTTATATTTTAACGATTGCTTCATTGCACTAAGATACTGAATGACCTTTTTATCACTCATCTTTCGCTTGTTTGGAGTAAGGGAAAGTGAATCTTTATCATCATCTTGAGGTTTAGGAGGTAGTGTCTTGAACTCATCTTCGTCATTTCGAGGGTTAGAAGATGGTGACTTGAACCCATCTTCATCGGTTTTCTGAGAAATCATCTGGTTATACACTTGTATATTCAGTTTTAATTTGTAGAGGTCTTCTTTCACACTCACAAGATTTTTTGTTGAATCCACGAGAATTTTTGTCACGTTCATCCTCACCTATCAAATGAGATAGTATTTATATGAGTATATACAGGGTTGGGATTCGTACTCGTACACGTACACGTATCGTACAAGTACGTACGTACGTACGTACGAGCTTAAAATTTTTTAGTACATTGTACGAACATATCATGTGATTTATGACAATTTTTATTGGTTGATAAATGTAATACACATTATATATATATATATATATATAAACAGGAGGGAACGTCCTATATAAGGAATGGATTTTCACAATTGATTTCAATTTTTTTTATACAGTTTAAAATAC